CCCCTCCCGGGATGTGTCCCAGGATCTGTTTCCCAGGGATTGTCGTTGGCCCCTTTTGGGCCATGGCCATTCGCCCTGGCGTGATAGCGCTTCCGCCCCCTATTGACGAGAAGGGAGAGCTACCAGCCCACAGAGTGGTTGGTGCCAATTTCCCCCGTACATTAATGTAGGAGCGAGCAGGAGGGAGCGAGTAGGAGAGACAAATTTGATTGTAAAAAAGAGGTGTAAAAGAGAACTCGTGACGTGTGCCTTAAAGAGCGGGACAACGCATGGATCAATTAACCTGCAATACGAGGGAACACGGCGAGAAGGGGATGTAAGGGGCACGACGGAGGAAGGGAACAAACGCCACAACCCTAGACAGTCCGACACTTTCCCGAGCACTCCAGAGCAAGGATCAACGGATCCGCAAGCATTTGGACCGAGTCCGCAATGCTGGTCTGTCAACAGGGATGGCCTCCTGCTCGCGGATCGACCGGAGGTGCAGACTGCAGCACAGGAGGAACAGGAGCAGCAAGCACAGCAGCAGCAGGCGCATACTTGATCCCGGCGAGGTCCTGATCCCTGTCCACAGTCACAGGCCCGAATGCTGTGGACGGCACGACACAGTCCTTCCGACACACGCCCTCCGAACACACCATTCCCGGCCCGTCGGACACATCAGACACCGGCAGGCCAATCGTTGTAGATAAAGAGGCGATACATAGAGAGACAAACGGCTTCAACCGAGAAGGACGGACGAATCAACGACAACGGCCCACCCGGATACACACACATTGTGGCCGTTTCACCTCGACCACTTCCACGGGTCCTTGCCAGGGCTTATGTAACTTAGGAGACGTACCAACCGGCACCTGGGGGCAATGCAACCATGCCTTGTCGCCAATGGACCATGGCAGCACGTGATCCGGCTTCCTCGCATTACGTTCATTGCGCGCCTGTGTTTTTGCGGCGTTAACTCTGGCCGCCTCTCGAGCCATAGAAATATGCTGTAGTGAAATTTGCACATGCTCAGACAATCTTGACTTCCCTTTATCCAGTGACAAACCCAATTGAGCATCAATAGGGGGCACATTCTCCCTCCCATACATGAGCAAAAAAACGGTGAAAACCCCATGTAAGTATGAGGGGCCATCCTATACGCGGCGAGTACACTCGACACATGCAAATCCCAATCCATCTGCCCAGCGTCGACCGCCTGACAGAGCATGGAGGTCAAAGTTCTATTCAGGCGCTCCACCATCCCATCTGTCTGTGGGTGGTACGGCAACGTCCTAAATTTCCTAGTACCCAAAGTATCGCAAAACTCACGCAGCAATTTAGACGAGAAATTGCGCCCTTGTCAGTGAGCAGTTGCTCCGGGGCTCCCTTGTCTATCACATAATAGTAAACAAACGCCTCCGCAATGGAGGCCGCTGCCTGGTCAGGCAGCGGCCAAGCCATAGGCCATCGGGAAAAATATTCGACCCCCTCTAAAAACAAATTATTCCCTTGTGGAGTGGCCAGGAAGGGCCCAAAGATATCGAGCGCCACCAATTCGTTAATACGCGAAACCGAAATGGATTGCATCGGCGGATGGGACTTCCGCTGCGGCGGTTTCCTGTGCATGCATTCAACACATCCTTGGATCCATCTGGAAACATCGGCTGTCATCCCCGGCCAATGATAGTCACGCTGTATTGTCAAGAGGGACTTCTGGACACCGAGGTGCAACTGCTCATCCTCGTGCAGCACGCGAACCAAGTCACCCTGGAGAGCAGTGGGGACGACAAGCCACCAGCGATCCAACATATCCTCTCTCCACATTAAAAGGCCGCCATGAAGGATCAATCGGGGCCCGTCAACTGATGCAATAGTTTGTGTACCAACTCACCTGTTGGGTCTTGATTTAAAGCTTTTGTGACTGCAGGAATCCATACTCTTTGGTTCTTTCGGTAAAGTCAAGTAGGTATAAAATAAAATAAAATATTACGTGACTTTACGAAAGAACCAAAGAGTATGGTCACCTGTTGGGATTGAGATTGAGCTGTCGGAGGGGCAGCGGGCGCCGGAGCAGCAGTCAGTGACGGAGGGCGATTCTGGCATCCCCTCGCGAAGTGCCCCGGCTGGCCGCAGCGGAAACAGGCCAATGGCGGCCTCTGCAGCACCCAGTCCTCATGTTGACATGGTCTCCAGCTCCATCAATGACGCACAGCATTGCCCTGTCTCTGATTCCACGACGGAACCGCAGCAGCGACGTCCCCCCCCTGAAGACACATCGCCGGCCGGAACCACCACCACTTTGCTCGGCTACCATCCCTTCCGTTCCCCATCTAGCTGTGGTCCGCCGTCCACGCCGCCATCTGAAACTAACGCTGTAGATTTTCGTGGGCCTGAAGACACCTGGAGGCCCACCGGGATGTTTGGATGTCTTCGTCACACACAGGTAAGACCACTCCCATGTGTCTAGCCAGACCCAACACCAACAGCACGCTGCGATAGGCGAGAGGCATCTCGGCCTCTCCTCGCTTACATTGAAGAAATTTGCGTCGCGTGTCAGAGGCGGCTCGTGCACGTCCGCCATTTCAGCATAAGCACCCTGAAGAGTGGACTTTTTCTCAGTAGGAATAGCTCTGAAGACCGCAAGAGTGTCGTCGTCCAAAACAGTCGGCAGGGCGACCAGCGTTTCCTCCTCTGTCAAATGTACTGAATGGAAAGCCGCCCCGAATCGCCTCCAGTCGCCACCTGCCACGACGAATTATTTACCTTGAGGAAGTCTTCGAGTACGATCGGTTACACTTTACGCATCCTTAGTGGCGGCCGCTGTGTCTTGAGCACCACGCGTCTCTTGTAAAATGGCCGACTCCGTCCCCGCCTCTCCCGCGCCTCCCAAAATGGCGGTGTCGGACTGCATGCTTCCCTCTGCACGCGTAATGGCGGCCGTCACGTCTGTAGACGAACCCACTGAAACTTCCACCCCGGAACGCCCCGCCACCGTAGAAGCAGTGAGGAGCGACACCAGCTGCACAACAACTGCCCGCAACGAGTCCAGTTACTCCGTCACCCTCCTCTACCAGGGCTATTGTATCAGAGCTATTGTTACCAGGGCTATTGTATCAGAGCTATTGTTACCAGGGCTATGTTATCAGGGCTATTGTATCAGAGCTATTGTTACCAGGGCTATTGTATCAGAGCTATTGTTACCAGGGCTATGTTATCAGGGCTATTGTATCAGAGCTATTGTTACCAGGGCTATTGTATCAGAGCTATTGTTACCAGGGCTATGTTAACATATATATTACCAGGGTTATGTTATCAGGGATATGTTACCAGTATAATGTTCATTATAAATGTTGTTGGGTTAGATCGCATAAGTATGAATGTGTCATAGCTCTCCACAACCCGACACAGCCAGTGAGGTTTGTCACTTAAACAAGACGTGTCAATTAGTAAACTACTTCAGCCCGCAGTCAGCTGGAGAGTAAATCAACAACATTATCAGGGCTATGTTACCAGGGCTATAGTGGAGTGGTTATTCGAAAACAAATGGGTACTTTACCGGAATAGTGCCTGCAATAACAAATGCTGTACTGCCACGTATAGTACTGCAATTTAGATGTATTTATGCAGTCTGTTTTGGCGTCAGCCATTGGAGCTCACACCACGTAAAGAGTTAATTGAAGTTAAAATTATAAGAGCGTAAAAATGTGTCCTTGAAGAGTATTATTTTTAGATACAAACCATGCTACAGCACGGTAGCTACATACGTAGCCGCACCATATACACATTTTCTTGTTAATTTTGGAGATATCCACTGAGATGTCGCGCCCCATTTTCAGGGAAGGTGAATACCCTTGGCAGGGATATTGTTTTGCCCTATCGTGATTAGTCATCGATAGTATATGTAACTGAAAAACACCGCTAAATAAATAACACTCATCATACCAGTATCCTTTGGGGTGGCACGGTGGCTAGATACAGTATTACACAACTCGCCTGATATACAGGCGGTTTTGGGTTCGATCCCAACCCTGATGCCTGTATATTTGGAGTTTGTGTGCTCTCTTACACTGTGGTCTCATCGAGTTTCTCTCCGGTTTTTCCCTCCACGTTTAGAAACATGCTTTTAGATTAGTTGCCTGCAATAAAATTCCACATGATTAGCCACTTTGTTAAGCTATTATTTGTGGCCAGGTCACTTTACCTGGTAAAATAAAAATAAAAGTTTAGTTTTAACTTATAATTTCATCATCGATTTCAAAACAGGACTTTTATATTTTTAAATGTGTGTGGCTTAAATGCTGCATGTATCAAGGCATATACAACAGTATAAGCACAACTACATTATTTTTCTCCACGTGGAAATACAAATGTTTTGGTCTTTTGGTTTTAAAGACTGATATTAATCCAGCAGCACTTGTTTAAGCAAGCAAACTTTGGATTGCTTTCAACCTTCATATTCTCATCATCAGGCCAGCTTGTTCAGCAAATGCTGCTGGGTTGCTAGATGTTTTTGGCAAGAGCACTCCATGTATATTTATTATTTTAAATGATAATGCAACTGAAATTGTGAGCATTTTTTTTATCCTAATGAATGTACCGTGTTAAAATTAAATACTCTATTGTCTAAAGTAGTGTTATCCATTCCTATAATGAGTAAAGTTACTAAAAACTACCACACTTCTCTGTTATTCTTAAATTGGTAAGCGAGTCGCTAAAATGTCTCTAAATATGCCTTCATATAACACAATAACACAATGCCCGTGAACAAATGATTATGACCGTGCTTGCAAACTGGAGGTGTCACATTACCATATATATTACAAACTCAACCTTTGGAAGCAGTTAGTGAAAGGGGCTTATTTGTTGTAAACTCGTTTTTATTATAAGTGAACATGGCTAGTCACAATAATAAAGTCAGGATTTCCATAGAGTGCAATGAATATATTAGTATTCAAAGGATATAAACATCAATGCCTGCACCATATTCCCTTTCTGTGGTACTCTGTGTCTCATTTTAGGTTCCGGCTCCAGACTCGCGGATGTGATGCATTGCACTGCAACCTTGGGAGAGTGAACACAACAGTGCCTGTCCAGTGTGGGCATCATGACTGCTGCTCATTTTTCAGAATGGGTGACATTTGATGAAGAGCCTGGGGTCCCAGAGTGGGAGAAAGTCTCTTCCTCGGATGCTAATCAATGCAGGGCTAACATTGCAAATGGAATTGTCAATTCTGCATTTGACTCGCACTGCTTAGAGGGGGAATCTGAGATACGTAGCTACGTCACTGATTCTTTGAATGAGCCGCTCAATAGTGAGACAACCTCTTCGCCAGAATGTACAACCATTTCTGAGTATGAATCGGAGCTGTACACTCCACTGCATCCAACAAATCCTTTTTTGACGAATCTGCTTGAGCCAGCGCAGACATCACCAGTTAACCCTTTTCATTCATACTGTGAGCACTTGGAAGATGTAATTTCAAAACCTTCAGGGGAAGGAGACTGGGGAAATAACCTCTACTCATCATCAGTCACGTGCTTTCCCACTAACGAGGTTGATGAAACCAAGCGAAGCTCCGGCTTCTCTGATGGAACGAGCAGCCAGATAAGTTCAGTGGAGTCTGGCCATCAAGAAGAATGTGCCGTGAAGCCGACGCAGAGTCATGGCGTAGACTCTCAAAGCCTCAATAATCTACCATGCTCTTCTGCTGTTGTGTCATCGCTGTGCGTGCATTGCCCCGACTATGTCGCTCAGAGTGAGGGTTGGCATCTAATGCTGCGGATCCCTGAACGGAAGAGCAAGATGTCATCTCGACAATGGGGACCCGTCTATCTTACTCTCAAGGATGGGCTGCTGCAGTTCTACTACGAGAAAGGCTTAGAGAAGCCTTTTAAAAAGTTCACGTTGCAAATTGGCCATGAGCTTTCCGAATTTAGACTGGAGCATTTTAACGAGCTTGGCAAAATTCACACTCTACGAATCGAGGCCGTTGCGTACAAAGAGAAGCGTAAATTCCAGGCAAAGCCAACGCTCTTGTTTGCTGACAACAGGTCTGAGCTGCTGAAACTTGGCACGACCGATTACGGTGACTTCACCAGTTTCGTGCAGTCGGTACAGGACGAGCTGATGAGGCTGCCATGTCCCGTGGAAACAGACGTGGCATATATGGAGGATATGATGCTGGTGGAGGTCTTTGATGAATTTCAGGGCATTCTGAGTGTGGATAATGACCTCGTACAACATGCAGTTACTACACATATTCAAACGGTTGCCTTTATTTCTGGAAATCATGATTGCTGCCTCGACTTTCACAATTGCCACACAAATTCGACGGAAACTGCGTTCACCGAGATTGACAGCATGGCTTTCTATGGCTATCAATTCCATTCCTGTACCAAAATTGTAGAGTTCAACACATCCAAAATGGTTAAATTCACCCCGCCAGATGCTTGCAAGATTGAGCTGATGCGATTCCGCACAATTTTCCCAGAAAAGGGGCTCCCGTTTCTGATAAAAACCATAGCTACTGTTCAAGGAGCCTTTATCGAGCTGCAGTCTTGGCTGGTGATGTCAACAGAGTTCTCATCAAATCAGAGCCCCCACCTGCTTGTCCCATGTGAGAATGTTATGGTGCGATACCCAATCCCGGCAGACTGGGTAAAAATCTTCCGCACCGAGAACCTCATCAAGCAAAAGTCACTGACCGCTAAAGTGAATAAGAGCGCCAAGTTTGGCAGTGTCAGCTGCACCGGTTCAGAGCCATTGATGCAAGTGACCATCGGATCTGCAAAATATGAACATGCGTTCAATGCTATTGTGTGGCGCATTGAGAAGCTACCAGATAGGAATGTTGGTAAGTGGCACATACATACACACACAAAAGGACAATAATTTATATACCCATTTAGAAGTTAGCAAAGTGGGCTGGCAATCCAAAGGTCACTTCTGTTCTGGTAGTTGAAACAGTGAGGCAAGTTTCTTAACGCCTCCCCCCCCCCGCCTCTGTCCACCCTGCAGTGTTCTCGTTAATTGGGGTACGCCACGCTAAGTAAGTCTCGTGTTGTGGGGTAAAGTGTGGGTACTTCCATCTCTTCCGTGATAATTTTGGCCAGCGTGGAAGAGTAGGCCACGTTGCCTCTAGAGGGGCAATCTCTTGAGCTCCCTCTCTTGGGAACCCTTCCGGAAGCAGTGACATGAGGAAATTATTGCAGGGCTGCACTCTCTAACTTTCGTTTCCTTTTTTGATAATGGCAAAAAATTGCAATTCCAAATACATGACTTTAGCAGTAAAGCAAATATGGATACAAATAAACATGAACATTCAACACAGAGGCCGTTTTAAAAGCAACTGTATCTCCATAACAGATTTGTCCAAGTGTCGAATTGTCATTTTGAAAAAGAAACGGTTTTTTTTCCTTCTCCCCTTTTTTTCTTTTGAAGCTGCAGATCATCCTCACCGCTTCTCGTGTCGCTTGGAGCTGGGATCAAACAAGGAGCTTCCTTGTGCATTCTTCCGTTCCGTGGACGTGGAGTTTGACATGCCAGCGGCGATGGCTTCCAGGACCGTGGTGGGCTGCGTCAGCTCGCCTGCGAATCCCAACCTGGCCAAATGTGTCACCTACAAGTCTCACTTTCACTGCAAGGTAAACAATGACACGTCGAAAGGAAGTGAACTTTGATTGTTGGTCGTCAATCAGTTCAAGTGCTAGGTGCATTGATGCATTGCAGGATCGTGGCAGGTGCTGGTGGCTTGGTGAGGCCTGCATCCAGCAGTGGGCTAACCATGGCTGCTTCTGCTGCTGCTGGTTATGATGTTATTAAGACTGCCACATAACAGAAAGCTACTGTTGGGCAATCTTTTAGGCAATTAATTTTAATCTTTCAGCAATAAAGACATTGTCAGAAATGGTAGCTTTGATATACTGTACTGTATACCGGTGAAGCAAATGTGTTGCAATATTTTTTTTCTTTTACCAGGTAAAAACCCACTGAGCTATATAGCTCTTTTTCAAAAGAGACCTGTCCACAAATTAATTATAGCTCAACGAAGTGGCTTATCGTATGGGAATTTATGGCAGCCAAATACTGTAAACGCATGTTTCTAAATGTGGAGAGAAAAAACGGTGGATCCGGCGACCACGGGGAGAACATGCAAACTCCATATGCAGGCGTCAGGGTCAGGATAAAACTCACAACCTCCTGTATACCAGGCGATGTAGTTAATATCTCGTCAAGTTGATGAAGGCCTCACCAGGTTGCTGTCATTGCTCAAAGCTCATCGATACACACGAGTTGATTTCACCGATTCATCTCCACGGTGGATTTTTGTTACATTCAGGCAGTGTTAATGACAGATAGGCATTTTCTGTATGTCCTTGTGTCCTACTGCCAATGGATATTCTTAAGTTTTCACCTAAATCTATAATCATCCGCAAGTGGTGATAGATTCACAGTGACCTTACTCTCCCCTAAGGTCTTGCCGATGTTCGTGGACATGATAACAACTGATTGTGCTTTCATCTTCAGTTACAAATTACATCCCAGATAGTGGCCAAGTTAAATGCTTTAAGCGTTGGAGTGAATGCTCTATAAACTGTTTTAAAACCAATCTTGCATTGCAGGTGGAAATGGAGCGAAGGTGGTTGCATCTGGGAGATACTGATGTGGAAGAAAGACCTGCAGCATGTGCACTGCAGTGAAGGCAATAATGACTATTGATAACGGATTGAATAGCAGCAGGACTCTCTGAAGCCGAACATCAATGCATCACAAAAGTCATACAAAAGGCATGGGGTAATGCCACGTGGGTCGAGGGCCTCATTTTCCACTTCAACTAATTGAGGCCTAATGACCCCTGAAGCCATGTGATAGAGATGTATCATACCTTGATGCGTGTGATTTACACTCCATTAAACCTGAGCGAGTTGTTTTGTCCCTCTGAACACCCCCACATTTTTCAAGAAAAAGCCATAAAATGTGACCTCGTATTTCTTTTATTTTTCTTCCATACTTCCTCTGCTAAGGTTTGACCAGATGTGTTGTTCACCAAAGTTTGCTTCGGCTCTTGTGAAGTGTCAACAGGGAAACTAAACTCAGCGATCTCTATTGATTGAACACAAACTCACAGTGTGACACATCCTTGGATAGGTCTCCCTGTTCACACACCATTACATTTTTATAGAAAATCACAGTCACCCCTGAAAGTTAAAGATGAGGATCATAAAACATTTGAGTCATCCCCATATAGTTGCTAAGGGAACAACATGTATGATTGATGTATGTATGTTGAATTTAAATTGTTTGATGCTGTATTTATCAGTTGTGTATCATTTGTGAATGCATTGCATTACATGAATATCTTCCAAAATCTAAATGGAAAATGTAACATTACAGTAGTTCAAATTGAATTTTAATGCAATTTCTTTTTGTTGTTGACAGGGCTTAATTTATCATAGAATAATTCTCTGGAACTCACAACCCCCTTTAGAAGGGGGGGGAGGAGGGAGTGGATGAATATTTTCCAGTGCAGAGCTTCAGTTAGAATTAAGCCCTGGTTGTTTATGACTAAATACAATGTGGAGTATAAGTAGAATGTGAGACTATAATCCAGTGGAGCAGAACAGCTCTGTTGTACAATACTGTGTACTGCATGGGAATTTGCTATCTATTCACTTGAGGGTAAAAAAAGGGATACGATGAATCACCACCTCCAGGGTGCATAGAGCATCTGTAGTGACTGTACACTTTTTTGTGGATGAAACAAAAAAAACTCGCTGCATACTATTTGGAAATTTAAAGAAACAGTTTTTGCATGTACCAATAACAATGTAAATCTTTTCATTGCTACATCCCCATTGAATGTTTTTTTTATTAAGTTCTGTATAGGAGCATCTTTTCCTCACGTGGCAGATAATATTCGTGAATGCCATCATAGTCAATTATATTACGATTATGCATTGGAGAACAACTTCCACTTATCTGAGGTGATTTTTGGATGAAGATTTCTGATCTCAATGATCTGCAATGCTACCTTCAAATCTACTTTACTTGTCCACAGAGGGCTGCAAATGAGTGTATTTTTGTTGTTGATAATAGGGTCCACAGATTATAGGAATTACAGATAATAGGGTCACATATAAGAGGAGTCCTACTCTTGATCCTCAACCAAGTATTGGCCACGGCTTGTAATTTCAACCCGTTGAAGTAAATATTCACGAGACCTCCTCGTTTTGCTGTGTGCTTGCTCTGGTTATGACCTGCATGCGCTTCTAACCAGGCAAGTGTTATTTACACATCGTCACACTCAATTAATGTGTGCTCGTTTTTATATATATGTGCTGTAATTTATTTGTGGTCAGTGTAATCTTTCTTTGAAATGTAATTTTTCGAAGAGTGCACGCATTTTTTTGCATGTGTATTCTTTACAAGTATTTTCTGTACACAATTCTAGTCGTGATGAGCACAGGTCTAGTGGTGATTATTGATGGCAAGTACTCGATCGTAATGGATTTTTGGTGATGTTTAGTACAAAGGAATACTCTGTATGGCAATGTCGTGTTAACGGAGAGTTGTTGATGTGGCAACAGTGGATTCATCCTTCAGAATGCAAACTCAAGACTTCCCTTCTCTGTGTCACTCTATTTCCTGTTTGTATTCTCAGTTATACCCTTTAGCCATTTCTTCCTCAAACCACATACAGTACAAGCCTGCTGCTCACCCTCTTCTGTTTAAAAAAAAAATATTTTGTCTTTCATATTTTTATTGTAATTTTTATTGTGGGTTTTCCTTTTATTATCTTCAATTTTTTTTTTCTATCTACGTGACTTTACCGAAAGAAAACCTCGTTCCTGATTGCCATTCGCCATGGCTTCCACACCCACATTTATGTGCTTTACTACCCTCTGCAGCCTGTTGAAATTGACCATACAATATATTTAGCCACCTTATCCAAATCTATGCCTTCGTGATGTGTATTGATGCAGTTTAGTATTGAGTGGTTTATTTTAAAACCATTATAATGTCATGATTACAGTATTCAATGCAGTCTAGTGCATTGAATATATTGAGAGAACAAAAGGCTGAATCAAATGTTTTGACTTGTAAAATTATGAGCACGGGAAAGTGGATAACGTGCAAAAATTAGGACATTTGAACAACTGGTTGCAACTGAGAGGAGTATCCAATGCAAAGCTGTTGAGTAATATCACGGACAGAACTAAATTGAACAAAGGTCACACTCGCCGACGTCTTTAAGAAAGGGCACAGCACAGAGCAGTTTAGTGTGGGCTACACAAGTGATACACACAACCGATTTCAATGGTTCGTTATTTTTGTAAGCCCTAATGGGGCAAGAGCAAATTAATCGTTGTTACACATGAACTATCTGGCCGGTGTCATTACCTGGTGAGCTAAAGCTGATCCACTAAATGTGTCCTTAACTCGTTAACTAGAGAAAACTCTTAAACCACCCCACTCTCACCCAGCACCTGAGCGGGTTGTGTTTGAGGGCATTCTAGCCATGTGTAGTATATAGTCCCATCATGGCTTGGCTTCGCGAACGAAGATCTAGGAAGGACATCCACGTCTTCTGCAGGCACGCTGGTGGCTGAAGAGGCCTATGCGGGACAAGCAGGTCCTGCCACAACAGCTGCAATAAATACAGTATATAGTATACTGTATTTATTGTCAAAGTTATCACTTATTACAAGAGCATGCTGCTTAGTGCTCATTAATTTGTACAGACGTAGAAGACGCCGTTGCATTGTTTTCAAGAGAATCGTATTATGGTATTGTTCAATGTAATTTTCCACGGTTTAAAAAAAGGTAATTTTAGACGTTGAATTATTTTAAGGATAATTATCAAATATACTTAAACATCAGTTATTGTATACATATATTACTGTATAAAAATAAATGAGCCGACAGTAGTGTACATTTATATGTCAAAAAACAACACGAAATACATATTTGCCAGAGCTCATCCCTGGACAGCTCTGGCTGAAGTTAATCCCTGGTTATAACACAGTCGTGTATAGAACATAGTCTAACACACTAGTGATTGTTTTATTTAGTTAAATACAGATTTGTTTTAAGCAATATTAACACAACAGCAGCACATCATTATTTGCAAAAAAACAGCTCTTAACAATGCCATTTGTTAAATGGAAATGTCTTGAATTAATCCTGCATCCTTTTTCATATACACGGTGGATTTAAGTTTTTAGAAAACTAAACGCCGTTCATTAGCCTTCTAATTAATGTTAGATCTTACAATGTACTTTCCTCAAAGGAAATAGGTTTTGGAATATGCGTTGAGTAAAGTTTGTACTTTATTCAGAAAAATGAAAGTGTTAACATTTTCAACGACGAGATGTGTTATTTCATTAAAACTTTACATTGATTTTTTTAGTTTTAAAAATGCACAGGTAAGTTGTGCGCATTGACAGTTTCCTATCGGTAATGTGGTAAACAGATCAATAAACTAATTTATCGCAATGCAGTACCTACTAATAAAGGTTTCCCTGTTTCCAGTCTGTGGTTGTCTGTTAATTAGTTACTCTTTTACACTTCACTTCAAGTGACAATGTGCAATCAATGCTAATCATTGCACACCGTATGAATTCGTCATTTATTGAATTCCGTGGAAGTTTTTCAGAATGATCGCTGCATATCAACGCAGTGCAGTACAGCACATGGTAACTCTTGTCTCTGGTGGTGTGGCAGACGAACACGACACACCCTATTATACGGAACACTATCCTCAAATTAATTTCACTCATCCGGTTTTAAATTGTGCTGATATTTGAAGATAATGAGATGCATTTCCCGATTAACTCCTCTTATTTGCAAAAAAAGGAACATTTTGCAAAGCAGGACTGGAAAACAACCGTGGATAATATAAAACATATCGTGGATAATAGGAGTTTTCTAAGATAATTATCCAATTCTTGGAAATAATAGGATTTGCAGGTGATACGGCCACGGGATAAGAGGAGTTCTACCTGTACTGAACAACACTGCGATTATGCAGGTTGCCTCCGAATTGCATTTAACTACGGCGGATATCGCTACAATCACTGTTCACAATCGAGAGATAAAATGATAAAGCCGCAGCCCTGCAATTTTTTGCTCACGCCGATTGATGGTGGAAGGGTTTCCACTCTGGTTGAAATCGAGATAATCCCTCTTGAGTGCATTCTTTGGCCTACTCTTCCATGCTGACGAGACACCTTGGAAGAGGTGGACAATGCCGACACTTTACTCCACCACACACGACCTGCTGGATGGGACAGAGACACAGCGATTATTTTTTAAATAAATAATCCCATTATTTCCTCTGCTGGTGCTGGGAGATTGAATCGGACCACCGACCCCTGGATTGCAAGTCCAGTGCACGAAGCATTACACCACAGCAGCATCCCAATTATGTACGACTCTGTAAATGTGTGGAATCGGCGAATGCTGTATCCACTACACGTAAGCCATTTTAGAACCTCCAACTTCCTACCCTTTGTTTGTGAAAATACAGAACACGGACACGTTTGGACATTTGAGCGCTTCTTTATTGTGTTCGGGATAACAAGATATGAAACATCGTCCAGCGAAGAAGTTACCAAAAAGCCAGGTCTTGTTGCATCCTTCAACCTCCAGAAACGTCCGTCCCCCATGGTCTCGGTTTCCGTTGCGATCAGTCACCTCGAGGTTTAAATTAGATTCCCGTCTATTGCCTGTCTCAGCCGATTGTGTGCAGGTGTCAATTGCATGTTTTTTCTCATTCTCAAAATGATGGCTTGACGTTGGACCTTTCAGTCTGGGAGCAATTCTTTCGCAGTGTAAACATACTCGAGGGCGACTATTTTCACTTTGGCTTTCATTCGTTAATCACATACAATGAAAGCAATATAAAGGTGTAAGCCCTGAAATTGCTTGCTCACGCCACTGCTGGCAGAATGGCGTCCAATAGAGAGCTCCTCTAGAGGGTATTTGGCCTACTATTTTACGTTTGGTAGACATCTGAAGAGGTGGAATTACCGACATGAGCCGTCAATCGATGAGCTGGTGTAAAATGCAATTTACAGCACGCAATATTTAACGGACATAAATGACATGTGAAACTTGCGGTGCGGAGCTAAGTTCGGTGTTGCTTGAAAGCCAGGCGATAGAAGTGGCCGTTTAAGCGTCTATTAAAGGTAAGTGGAGATTGAATGCTGCGAATGTGCAGAAGGATAGCGTTCCAGATGGAGGGGGTTGCCATTGATTAAAGATACCCGGCAGTGATGGTCCTGGTCCTTGGTATGAAGAGGAGGTTGTGAGTTGCCCTGCGGCTGTTCTACCATGAGCTCTAACATCGGGTTTCGGAATGAAAAAATATACAACGGACAACCAAAAGAAGAGGCACCGTGGCAGAGAAAAGTGATCTTGTAGTTGACCCTAGCAATATTTTAAAGTATTTAACTAAATGATATACTTTACTATTTTACCAGGTAAGACCCACTGCGCTATATGTCTCTTTTTCAGAAGCGTCCTGGCCACAAATGATAGCTCAACGAAGTGGCTTATCGTGTGGAAATTTCAAAATACTCTAAACGCATCTTTCTAAATGTGGAAGGAATAACTGGAGGACTTGGAAATGAAATCCGCACGAGACAGAGAGAACATGCAAATTTCAAATATGCCACAGGTGTAAGGGGTCGTGATTGAACCCAAGATCTCCTGTATACCAGGTGAGGTAGTTAACTTCTTGCCACCATGGCGCCCCTTACAGCTGTGACCATTTATAGAGGCAGTGGGGGGGGGGGTTAACAAACTTGCACTGGGAGATCTAAACTGATGACCTCTGGAACGCAAGTCTGGTGTATTAACCAGTAGATCACAACAGCTTGTCATCCATAATACTGTAATGTGAATGAACAAGGCTCATTGGAATTGACATTATGGTATTTATGTGTCGTCTGCCAGGCCCTTTCCGTTAATGCAACGCACAGCAAGCGTTGAGAGTTCCAGAATGTCTCTTATTATGACATGTGGCTGACAACATTGAATAGTACGGGAAAAATGGTACTGTGTAAATAGTAAAAAATAGTTAAGTCACTTTTCACATGCATTTTATCAAGATAATTTTATAATTTAATAATAATGACGTTTTGACATTTAGGAATATGGCACTGGTGCTATCATGGCCATAGTAACCACCTGCATGGGCAGTGTAATTGGGTCCTGGCCTCAGTAGATTTGCTTTGGGTGTCACTAATTTGAGTTTAGCCTGGCTACATGATTTTGTAATGCACTGCAGCATCCTTGAGGGTGACATTTGATAAAGGGGAGTAACCATGCTATAATTGTATGCCATATGAAAGTTATTGTTGCCTCTCCTTATATTGTAGTATCTCATCATCATTATCCTCAGCCATGGTCAAGCAACTACTGAATTAAAGCCTCCCCACATATCATATAATCGAATGTTCATATATCAAAATTAGTATTTTTTTATGTATATACGTAATACATTTTTTTATATCTTTCATAGCTCACAGTCAACGTCTATTCAGCAAGAGGCCACTCTTAATCCTCTGTTGCTCCTCCTGGGGGCTTGAACTCCCTGCAAGGACAGGCTGAAGATGTCTTCTCTGCCTACACCTGAGCACACCTGAAGCAATCCTCGGAAAATCCTATTACACTATCCATGTATCGATTCTTCCTCCTGTCCGCGCTTGTCTGCCAATAAAAGAAGTAATCTGAAAGTGGTGGCACCTTCATCCCATTATCCACAGATGAGTCACCTGGAAGTGGTATCCCAGAAGCTCCAATTTAATCGTATTGTCTGAGCCTTTGGCAAACACGAGGACTGGCCCAGAAATGGTGGGAAACTCATCGCAACGTCTGCATTTACCCGTGCATTACCACGCAGATGAAAAGTGCAGAGTAATTTGTGACTAAGGCAAGTAGACGCGACCCAATGGTAGCAGATTTACCGGTTGTTGCAGAGGCTCACGGTTCGATTCCAGTGGCTACCCTGATTAACAATGCGGGTGTAAGAATCATACTAGTAGCACCGGCTGATGGTGGACAGACAATACACACGCACCGGTGAGGGCGTGCACGGGTGTAGGTATAGGGAGGAACTCAGGTAAGGGTCACGGAGGACCCCGTCTGGAAGCCCATGGAACCTGCTAGCGGGTTCGAGAAGGGAGGCGCGGTCAGGGCGGAGCCAGGCCGCGCTGGGGAGCATAAAAGGAGCCGAGGGCGGGAGCTCGAGGCTGCCGGTTCTGGGAGTGGACTCGTCTCGTCGTTTCTGTCGTCTCGTCGCCGTCGTCGCTTAACGTCTCCTCTAGATATTGCGCTGCGAAGGAGAGTAGTTGGCTAGCTCAGTCAGCGCCGTGAGTGTTAGACGGCTAGTGTTGTGTACAGGCTAGGCTGAGCTACTGTGGAGAGTGTGCGGACGAGACCGTGAAAGTTGTTAATAAATAAAGTGCCTCCTAGAAACTGTGTCTCTGAATCGTTGACACTACATTTATACTACGCGCCATCTATTTCACGGGGACCATTAAAATACCATGATGCCATTCAAATTTATAGGCCGATGTGTGCCAGCATCACCGTTTACATTTGCCAAATGTAAAAAAAAAACTTAAATGACTCATTTGGAATTATACGTAGCAATTATTGCCCCCTACAGGCAGACTAATGCACTCAGTCACAATTTTTCTAATTAAATTGTCCTCGTTATCTTGAGTTCCCACTTGGTTAAACAAAATAACTTTGCAACCTTAAACGTGAAAAACACCGCATCCACATGATAGTAGCTTATAATAGATCTACTGGGACTTGTATGAATTTGAACTTCAAAACTGAAGCAGTAATTGAAGCAGACAGCTTAACAGCATCTAACATACCATTCACACCATTTCATTGTAACATTTTCACTCCACTTGATTTCTGTATACTCATTCAGAGGGCATTACTAAATTGCATGTTGTCTTAAAGCGTGTAGCTTGTTACGAAACGAATCATATACTAAACAGTACTTAATATGAATCCAGATTATCTTGATGCAATATAATATATATTTTAAACGTCACGCAAAATGTATGGAAAATAATCTTATGTCTTTGTATTACAATTATAACAGTATTGGAGCTTATCTGCTTTATTTTAAATTCTGCACGCAGTAGTCAATAGCTCCTCATTTTAATTTTTGATTTATTCATGTGCTTAAATTTTTTTGCTGGGTGTCTAAAGAAATGAAATATGCGCTTATAAATATGGTAATTGGGACTCGAAGTAGCTTCTGGGACAGGATGAAAAGATTTAACTCAGGATTCAAAATACGAGGCAGCCGAAGAAACACTGCTGCTGTTCAACTGTTTTAGTTCACCCACTTCCCTTTCATTTACTATTTTACCGATTCATTATCTATGCTAAAACGTTCCCCTTGTTGGTATTTAACCTCGGCGCTGTGTTTTCGTATCACAAAATGTAAACTAATTATATAACTTAAGGGAACAAGAAATTAGTGGAAAATAATACA